TCATGGCGGTGGGAAAGTGACTGAAGTCGAGATGACCCTTGTTTAGATTGTCTGAAAATCTCGAGATATAGCCAGAACAACATACCAGATATGGCAACAGTATTCATTGCCCGGATGAAAATGTTAACGCCCCTTTATTAATCTAAACTTAGTCTGAAATATAAAGTTATAATAGTAGGACACCTACTGAGAATCGAACTCATTACACTAGCAACAGTCGACAAGAATTGTTATCACTGTATGACATATACTCACAATATGAATGTAAGAAAATGCTTATTGTATCTCGACAGGAAGCAAAATTTTAAGGTCGAGATATAGTCTAAATAAACCAGCTAGAAGTGAAGGGTTTATTTTTCAAAATGCAATAGGGATATGCATATCGCGCTAATTATATATCTTTGAGGATATGTATTGCATTAATTAAGTTTAAGTATCTGTAAATAATTTGGCAAAACTCTAATCACTACTTCCTCTGGTATTCCTTTCCGTAAAAATCTAGTACAATTTTTATCAAGTAGTGTAAATTTCACTAAAGATGGCTGCTTATAAAAACAAGGGACTCAAAGCTATAAATAAGTTTCACTTCAGATTATAAACAATCATTGAAACAGTCTTAAAGGTTACTCGTTTTACTTGCAGAAGGAATACGAAACGATAAATATATTTTCATGGGTTTTTACCAAAGATTAACCACTTCAGCATTAGATGATTGCACAGCATTAATTTTAAACTGGAAGAGCGATACGAAGTAAGATGAAAAATACCGGGACTGTTACCATGGTAACAGAGCTAAAAAACGCATAGACAATCCGCTTGACACAGATTGAACTGCATCGTACATACATACTAAGCTATAATGTTCTCACTCACTTCAGTTATTTATGGTAGTGCTTGGAAGGAAAGTGTGTAGAGTGTGGTCGTCTCACCACACCACAGATGTTCCATCAGTTCCATCTGGCTCTTGCAGTAGTTTTCAGCCAAGTACAATATTCCTCACCCAGACTTCAACCATATTTCCTAGATCTCGCCCTAGCGATTTTTTCCTCTTTCCAAAAATCAAATCCCACTTGAAAGAAACAGTATTTCAAGACGTCAAGTAAATCCAAGATAATCCAACGAGTCATCTGCTCGCTATCCCCAAAAGGGAGTTCAATGAGTGCTTCCATCAATGTAAAACAATGCTGGATAAAGTGTGTGGCCTCAGAAGAGGGCTACTTCGAAGGAGATTAAATGCCGAATTGATATGTATTGTAGTTTTCTTTTTATAGCACTAGGTCCGATACTTTTTAATCATACCTCGTATAAAATTCTGCAAAATGAAATGCAGCTTTTAAGACAGAGACGTTGTTACTGGCATAAAGCATAATGAGTGATAATCTTCCAAGGATTTCCTACTGTTTGTTTTTTAATCGTTTCTCCCCAAGTAAGGCGATAATGATACTAGGACGCCGTAGGTTACAGGGAGTGAAAGAAAATGAGAAAACTACTGAAGATAAAGCACAATAAAGGAGCACGATTTAGGAAGACAGAAGATGGTGATTGACATTGCATTTAAAATTTTCAAGATTTTATTGTCCTTTATACCTTTCCCAAGGTTATTAGCACGAATCCATTATATTCACTCATGTGCTAATACCATTGGGAAAAGTATGAATTCTCTTCTTCTCCCTCCAGCTATGGGTAAACAGCAGGACAGACCGGGTTCTACATCCTTGGATGGCAACTGTTCTACCGCAGAAAGAAATGGCAACCTACTGCAGGAAAAGATCTGCCTCGTCAGTCATCTATCGAAAGATACATGATCACCTACGCGTGTATCACGCATGGAACATAACTGATTGACTGATTGTCCTTTATCCTTTGGTAGTAAAGTGACTGAATTCGAGATGTCAGATCAGGATCGATTACATTACAAACCCTTCGTTGAATTTTGTAAAGAATCTCTAGATATCCAACAGGAGCTCTACTCCAGATATGACAACAGTATTCAATGCACGGACGAATGGTAGATTTATAAATGTGCACGATGGATTCTAACGAGAAAAAGTTTCCTAGGAGCAGACCTAGCAATGGATTCGATATAGTCGCTTCACTTCATGTCAGTGGAAAATGTGAATCTAAGAAGGTACAATGTGTTGTACTCTTGCAACTTAGCATCAGCCATGTTGGTACAGAAAAGGTTCATTATGGTGATTAAATTAAGGCAGTTGTATTTTAGAAGCGTTAAAATATACAAGCCATTTCTAGCCCTCCACTGATTGGAGGTTCTTTTCGAGAACATTTACCAGGTTTACTTCACCCGATCTGTCGAACTTGCTACTAAGACAGGAGTAAATAGTTGTGTCCTCTGCTTAATTGCCTAATTGTAAACTGGTGACACCAGGAAGGTCGTTATTTAAAAACCAACATTCGGTATCGGGACGTTTCGGGATCGAATAGAGACCATTGTCCCCGGTGACGAGGATGTATTAGCATTGAACTATTGTGTGTTGCATCG